CAGATGCATTAATATACACGCGTGTATGGAACAATTAATTATTTTATGTTTACGCCGTATGCTTTATTAAAAAATGTGTGCTACCCGCTTTAAGCCCTAAGTTTACATCACGCTGCTCTATATAACAGTAGAATTACGTAGGTGCGCTTTTAGGCGTAATTTATAAACGTATGTACTCCCCCTCCCCTCCCCCGTATAATAACGCGCTACGTATGAATGACAATTTTCCAACTAGTCGGCGTCACGTGACCGTGTCGCCACGTGATGCTGGGTCTACAATGCGAGTCGCAAGGTCGTGAGTCGCAAGAATTGACCAATCACAGTCGATTATTCTCTTCAAATTCGACTGTGATTGGCCAATTCTTGCGACTCACGACTTTGCGACTTGCATTGTAGACCCAGCATAACTGATTGAAAAGAAAGATATTTGATTGGCAGTTCCGTAGGAGTGCGTTCCGATTCCCCATCAGAGTGCTGAAAATCTATAGTGCACGTGACATATACTATAGGGTTTTTAACACTCGGGTGGGGAATTTGAACACAACCTAGAGTGAATGGGGTAACTGTGATCAATCGTGACGCGGTCAAATGAGACGTTCCCTTTACCAACATACTTTATATAAAATTTCAAACGGTGATCATAATACGTACACAGGATTCCGTTGGAGAGAAGTAGGCACGTCAGCTCGTGAATGTCACGCCAGAAAACGAGAGAGCAACCTGAGCAACAGCCCCTCAGAGCCAGATACATCTCACTTCGTTTACGTCCGCCATCTCGTCATTACGCGAGGTCAGTTCAGAAAAATCACGTCGTATCTGACATATTGTGTTATTTTATGCAACACATATCAACGATTATCTAAACGGTGTGAATTTTCAGGACGCTGTGACGGTCGTGTACAACGGTCAAGTGCTATTCGTCAATATTTCAGCCCAGCAATTACGGGGGCACGTACATATTGTTCACGCATCATATTGCGCCTGGATGACAACATAATTTTTCCGATCTTGAGTAACGATTCGCCGAACGTGGCCCAGCAACAGTGTCCGATGGAAGAATCGCAATTGCCAAGCAATTCACTCAGCGACTTAGAATCGCCTCCGACACCAATTGTATATGCTGTCAGACAAGAGGCGAACAAAAATGGTGCAAAGTATTTTAGTGATGACGATAATTTTCCATCAGTTGATTCAGTCAGTAACTGTCAGAGATGTGTAGAAACGAACGGGGAACAAAATAACAGAAAGGAAGCCTTCTTTGCCCGAATGACGGGAAACGGTAACGTGGAACAGAAGACTGGAATGGAGGACGGAATGGATACATTGAATTTGATACCCGATGCCGAAACATTATTATTTAAACTACTGATGCAGAAACATCCGGATGGCATTTGGTATGCCGATCTGCCCAGCCACTATCTACAAGAGTACAAAGTGCACCTGAATTACAGGCAGTTTGGCTTTGACAGTGTGCGTGAATTCACATCTTATCTACCGCACATCTTCTACATGACGCGTGTCGACAAGACGAGTGATTTTATGCTGTATAGCGCGGATAAGAGGCCAGTAGTTTCAGAGCATCGTCATCGAGTGCAAACTTTGCCAAGCGACGTGGCGACGGCATCGCGCCCAGTAAATGTACGTAACAATTTATATAGTAGTATTTGTTTAGTAAAATTTTTTTATTCAGACATTGCCAGCAATATACATATTCTCATAGTATTGTAACTTGTTAACTGAGCAATGTACGTAATACGGCTCTAAAACTATTACAGTATTTTCATGAATATTAATATTAAATAACTAATAAAAAGTTCAAGCTAAACGTTAACCTCTGGTGCCCAATTTTTATTTCAAATAATAAAAATCATAATGAAATACTCAAGTACGAGGACAAATGAGTAGCAATGTTTTTAACATGTAAAAATACATGTATAGTATTATTTCAAAATGTCTTTTTTTATATAATTCTTAAAATCATATAATAATATATTGTTCGAGAAGTCGAATATGTGCCGCGCGCGCCTGACAAATGCGCGCCCGGCCAACACGCGTTTATCAGATTTCGCGGCTCGCCGCGGCGCGTCGCCGGCTCACGTACACTTACTCGCGTTTAAAATACGTTCGAGTAGCAATTTAAGGCAAGCCGCGCACAGACCAGCATCGAATCCTACCGCTATACTCTGCATCTCGCATCGAGGAAGCGTTGAGAGACTCGAAATACTAACTCTTTTGTCGCGTCGAGTGAGATTCCATCTCCTCCGCGCAGTAACTATCGAGCGTCGAGAGACTTCTCCTCCGCTCATTGCACTCCGGTAGAGCCATCGTGGAGACCGCGGCCCCCTCCAAGTCGGACGCCCCCTCCGGGCCCGCCACAGTGGAAACGGAGGCGCGGAGTGGCCCCACTCCAACAGCGACCAGACGGAAGAGGTGCCGAACCAGGACGCGGAGCCAGAGACGGAAGAAGCGCCTCTCCTACCCGCCGGTACCTCAGGAGCGGCACACGAAGGAAGCGGAGCCCGCTAAACCGGTGTCGCAGAAGCGGCACCAAGAGACGCCGGCCCCTGTGAAACCTCGTCTTTCTAGTCAGCCTGTGCCGCAGGAGCGGCAGGCAACGAGACGCCAGTTGGATAAGGGACAAGCGATACGTCCGTGGAAGCTCATTCCATTGGAGCTCCCGGAGGTGCGCCGCACCAGGCCAGCCGGACTGACGCTCCCGAAACGGGATTGCCGCATTTCTCGGCCACCGGCCCTCCACCTGATCCGCGTCAAGGAGACGCGAACCACAGCGTGTCAGACGGTGCTCAGGAAAGCTTTCCTGGCTCCGTCATCGCCAGTGGACCCACCGGATCAGCCGACGGACAAGCCACCTCGCACCCCGGGCTCTAAACTCGACCTCAATAACAACTCGGTCCCCTCTGAGCCCCTTGAAAAGAAGGCCATCCGCCACATTGAATTTTAAAACCGTGCGTTAGCACTTATTTTTTGATTAGGCGCCTTCAAGGCGCCGCCTAAGACAATGCAAACATAACATATGTAATTTAAACCACAGAATATATTGTTTTGTTACCAAATCTTGTCTCGCTGACTCACCGCCACCGTCCTGATCCTTATTGCGACCCCACGATATTGAACATACATTTATAATATTTTATTTTTACATATCTGTATATATAATGTTAATTAAATTAAATAATTAATTATTTCTTGTTGATTATTTTAATGCCGGAAGAGCATTTGATATTTGTAATACAACATGAAAATTCAATTATTATAATAATTTATGTATGTTTACAGTCTCCTACCCATACCAGAAACTGTTACTAAAAAAAACTAATATAAGCTTTATGTACTACATAGTCAGTATGTTAATGTTTTAGCATTTATACTGGAAAATGGAAAGTTTTCTGAGGAAGAAATGGATAAATTTTTAACTATGACAGTCAAATTTTCTTGATACATGCAAGAAAGGATACTTATAGTTAAACTGTTTTTTGACGAATATTTATATTACAATTCAGGAGAGCATCTGCCAAAGTTACTCGATTTGCTGCCATGGATGACTTTTATATCAATAACTGGTAACTACAAAGATATTCTAACCATTAAAATGTTAAAACTTTCAAATGTTGAAATGTTAAATTAAAATATTATATTTTCAGAATTACGAGAAAACATTCTGATACATGTGCAAAACATATTTTATGAGTCAAGTTTAAATGTAAAATGTGAAATAATTAGATCTCTGCAGAAACTAATGACAAACTTGGTAAGGATTGGATATTATTTTGACATATGTATGCAAAACTAGTTTTGCGGAATACATTTACGTTTATAGTTTATTTTCTTTACATATATATTATTGTTACACTAATGTGACAATTTATTACAGTTTGTAAGACAAGGTCTTGAAGAACAAGGTCAATATGCATCGTCTTTTTTGCGACAAGGTCCATTGGAAGATTTAGCAGAAATTGTACCTGTGCTTACAACGATATCAGAAAATCTAATTGTTGATGGATTAAACATACACAATTACAATATTATATTGTTATTAGAAATTTTGGCATTTTATGAAGAGGTATTTACAAAAATCAAATTACAAATAATGTAGCTGAAATGTTTAATTGATTGATTTTTTATTATTTATTTGTTTTGTTTCAAAGATCTGTATATTAAAAAGCTGTATAGTTATGTATCATCTTGGACATTGCCGCCACCAACAGTCATTAATGGAGCATTTATTACAAAGAGTTGTGCTATTTTATCGAGAGTTTGTAGATTATTACTAAGGTATTGATTTTATTTAATATTTTATTGACTTTCAAGTTAATTTTATTTTACATTATTGATACTTGGATTACAGATATCGCAAAATGAGTTCACATTTATGCCAGATTATGCCATCAGACGTGTATCAAGAAAAAGTTTGCATTATATCTATTTATGTAAATAATATTCATAAAACATTATGGTATGATGAGGTATGTACAGTGAGGAGCATTAATGAGTTCCATTACCCGGTGAGCTACGGTGCAGAGCGGTGCAGGCGAGCGCGCTACGTTACCGTCACGGTCGATAAAAGGTTCAAATACAGAACCGCGAACGCGTAAAAATGGTCAGTCACGCTGTATTGCTCGCGCGTGCATTTGATTAAAAAAACATTTTTAACACAATTTGATGCACACAATTAATACGTATTACATACAATATAACAATCATAGATGATTATGTAATTATAATTGTATTGTGCATCTGCAACTAATATTCCACCGACTAAGTATGTGTTTACTGGAATAATATAATTATAGATCATATGATAATTATAATTACAACATAATTAGTAGCACTTCACTTGTTTCATGTTCTCTTCTGCAGCAGCCCTCTGTACCCTGACTTCGAGTTTCTCTAATTTTTTTTCTATTCTCGTTTTTAGTCTCTGCTTTTAACTGCATCATAAAAGACTTTATTTCATCTATGTTCATTTCTTTAAGATTAGTTTATCTTCTAATTAAATCTACATTCCTCAGCTCTGGTACATTAATTGACACAGCCTGATAAAGTGCAGATCTAATCTCTTGTTCTGCGAGGGGTACCGCATCTTCACATGATTCATATTCTCTAATTATTGAATCGAAGCGTTCACAAAAATCACTTACTTTTTCGTCTTTTCTCATTTTAATTTGATAGAGTTTAGCTCGTACCGATGCATGAGTAACGTTTACTTCACTTTTTTTATATCCTCTCAATTTCTTCAAAATTTCTTTCGGATCTTTTTCATGTAGAATCCTTTTATGATAGTTTTCATCTAAATGATTGATTATTATCTCTAACTAGACTTTTTCTCTTAGCAACTTTTAGTTTGGAGAGATTTTCTGGACTTTCAATGTTTGAATCTATTACATCTAACAATTCGTTATTCATTAACTCAGATTTTAAATAATCCATCCAAAGATCAAAGTTGGATTTTTGCGTCAGCTTATATTCTCTTCTAATATGCAACCTTTGACTGTTCAATTCCAATTCTATAGCTCTTTTTATTGTCTCTAAACTCCTATCTTTTTCGGCTGAACAGACTGTTATTTCATTTAATTTTTTCTTTTTAGACTCTACCTCTAGTTCTTTAACCGTTTGTTTACTGTTTTCTACTGAACTTTGGGTATCTTTATTGCTTACCTCTAAACGTCTAAGTTTAACTTTTTCTTTCTCTAAGTTTAAACAGGAGACTTCCACCATATTCTCCATCATCTCGGTGGCCTTCGTCATTACTTTATCCAGCATCTGCATCGAATTGTCCATTTTTGCGACCAATTTTTCTTGCTTTTCATATAATATTTTGGTTCCAATTGGCAGTACTGGACGGTTCTCTTCCCATGCTTTGGTCACATCTATATTCTCTCTGACTTTAGGCAAGTTCTTTTTCGGGATTGCACCTCTTCTTTCCATCTCCTTTTTATCTTTTGCTTCTATACGGAATTTTGAAATTACTATTTTTATTTTCTCTGAATGCATATATGTATTATTCTTCTGGACTACTTTATTTTCAAAAAAATACTCTTTTACCTCTATCTTTTCTTACTGTCTCCTCGTTTTTATCTTTTGTTTCTCTATCTATTACCGTGATAAAGCTGCTATCGCTGTCGTAGTCGACCAGCGCATCTTGGCCTTCTTCTTTCATCTATATCGGGATTTAAATATCAATTGAACATTAGCATTCCTCTTTTGACAAGATTAACCAACATTCGTATTGACAAATAATAATTTACAATTTCTATCATTAGATCTCTTTCAGCGATAAAAATTTAATGCTTATGAGGCTATATAGAACGCACTGCAATTCACAATAACCCCAAAGCGAGAAAACCACGCGTCTCTGCAGGGCTATCCGCACGCGCACACCACTGTCCGTTGCGATCCCCAGCACTGCTAAAAAGATCTATGGGAGCTCGGGTTAATCACGCACACGCACGGGGCCCATACAAATTTACGCGGCTTCCCTAAACAGTAATCAAGCTACACCGCACAGCAAGTCATGCTCAATTACCGACTTGATACATATCGATTTAAAAAAAAATAAACTCATATAGAGTCATATAGAGTTTTTATACATACGCATACACATACATATACATGTATCGCAATCTAGCCATTTAGCATACGCATACATTTACATGTATCGTAATCTAGCCATCTAGCATCGATGCCATGTTGTTAGTCAAAATCGATTATGTGTTTGTGCGCGCCCAGCAACAAGTTCTGCGCGCCAAAAACAATGACTCTCGCCGTCTACGATCGGACTTCCGCGCGCCAAAAGAAATGACTCTCGCCGTTCACGATCGGACTTGCACGCGCACGTCGCCGACTTGCTACCAAGCGGCATTTTTCTATCTCTTTTTCCTTCATCATTCTCTACTTCTTTATTACACTTTACACATCTATTCTCTAATTCTCTTATTACCATTATTACCTCTATTTCTATTTCTCGAGAAACAGTATTTATCGAACGAACATTTTTATTAACTGAGAAGTCTCTCGTTTTGCTCGTCAGCAACGAGGAATATTATTTACTTACCCTCTAATCTTCTAGATGCTTCTATTTCTTTCTATGCCCTTCGCCGGCGTCTCACACACTTCGTATATACACTTTCGTGCTATGTTCTTCACGCAGGGGAATCGTGCCCTGGGCCCATAACCTATTGGAAATATAATCAGGGACGACTTGAAATGTGGTGAGATGAGCAGGGAACACAACAATCTTGGTCTTTGTACACTCTGAATACTGTCTTTATTATATAAAAGTATATCACACTCTGTAACTTAAACCGTAACTAACATGTCTGAACACGACGGTGATCGAGGCTCTTGTGAGCACCACTGATGCCCGCACGCACGCGTGGCGCGCCGAGTCGCGCCGCCAACCGGGAGCTGCCCTCTAGAAGGGCGGGAACTTATTGCTCGTTCAAAGTCTTCTCCCAACAGCTATATTATCCTACAGATGCACAATGAATAAACAAGGCCTAAATATAGGTACAAAAGAGGTAAGTGCCAAAATATCTATTATATATTTTTTATTTCAAATTTAAACAATTTGTAATTTATTGTGAGTTAATATGTCATTAATTTTTAATTGCGCAATTTTTTAGATTTTGCAAAACATCCTTTATACGGTCATGGTAAATTGTGGATAAAAAGTAACGTAGAATGCCTTATGCGCCAAATAGTATTGGAAAAATATTTATGAGAAGATATTTATATAAATAATGAGATTATTTACGCATATGTCACAATTGGACCAAGAGCGACGGAACTTTTAACGAGAAACGACGCAAAGGTATTTTTATTCTCAATGGTATATTCGAAGGAAGAAGATGGACAAACGAAATGCTAATAAACAAACTTGCGGTGCGTTGCAAATATTTTTTATAGATATAGGCTACGGTCAACGTGACGCTACAAATAATTTGAAGCCGTCCTCTTCTTTATTCTTTCAATAAAGAAAGAAAGAAAAAGAAGAAGAACGCTTTAAAGCATTTGTAGCGTCATGTTTACCGTAGCCATAGAATGACGTTGTACGTGTGTGTGTGTGTGTGTGTGTGCGCGTGTGCGCGTGTGCGCGTGTGCGCGCGTGTGTGTGTGTGTTTGAGAGTATAGATATAGAGGAGAAATGGACGATATATTATTTCGTCTATTATTTGTCGTCTTATATGCGTTTTTATTTTTCTTTGATTTTTAAACAGATTAAAATTGCAACGAGGAAATTGAAGAAAACTATTATAAGCGGTGTAGCTAAAGTTTCAACGCGTGTAAAGAGACTAGTGGAAGACCGTGTAAAAAAAGACGTGCAAGATCGTTGCTATGCCGAATCGATGACAAAAATATAAGAATATGCTGCAACCATGGAGTTTCTGCTTCTTCCATTATGCATATATTGGCTGTCAGAGCTATGAGCCAGCGTTTGCCGGATACCAAAGAGGCCATGTTACAAATACCGCACGTTACCGAGGCAAACTTTGCTAAATATGGCAAAGCGCTATTGAACATTACGCAGAAATACGCGGCGAAAAAAACAGGTACGTGCTGGAGATAGCGTGAAACGCTACGTGACGTATATATCTGACATTCGTGATGAGATTCACGTTCATTATATTTTTTCAGCTATGTTGCTCGAAAACGACACGACGACGACCGGGATCAAGTGTACATTCACGTCGTCTGACATAGAAGATAACAATAGTATTGACACACATGGCGTAAAACGAAAGATCGACGATAGATTGACGGATAATATTTTCAGAAAGCATCCAAACGAGCTGCTGGTGGCTCAACAAGGTAATTATTTTAATAACAGATCAATTTACCATGTACGCACATATAATGTATAAATAAACAAAACAATTTCAGTCGCCAGCAAATAATTCAAAATAAGTCGTTTTATTTTCGACCCAACTGGCCAATTAAAACAATATTGCACGACGTTTTGACCGAATTCCGGTCCTTATCAAGTGCTATTAATTTAAGTTACACCGATCCGCATAACAAATTGCATCGTTGACGTGGTGTCCTGACAACGTCAAGACAAACGCAAAACTAAACAAAAGAGAAAATAATACATTTAACAATAGAAAAATATACAAAATCGTTACAATATCACGCTGGTCAAAAACAATAAAATTAATTAACACTGTAAAAATTAGTTAAAACCTTACAATTCTTATGCGTTCCAAAACAAACGGTGAAATCAAAACGTCACTAGCCATATCAAGGCACAACGTCCGAACAGTAAGACAGTCAAAGTCGAAATGAAGTTGTCAAACGTAATCCGCGGATAGCAAACGGCGCTCTGATGGAAAAACGAGCAGAACCGAATATACAGGGCCGACTAAGTGATACCTATGACCCGGTTATAAATAGATGGCAGGCTCACAGTATCGTTTTGTAAATTGACTGTGCAATCATGTTTTTTAATGAAAAACATTTCCGATATTTCTCTTTTTTTGAAATGTTTTTCTTTGTATAAAATTTTTGGATGTTGCCACTTGAAATCATGATTGTGTGTAAGGCGATGTTTGCTCACAACAGAATGATTATCAACATTTTTCCTAATATCACATCGATGTTCTTTGATGCGTGTTTCTAAATGCCTTTTTGTCTGGCCAATATATACCGCATCACAATTTGCACAATCAATCTTATAAACTAACTCAGTCTGACTGAGACTCGGCAACGCGTCCTTACCCTTCCTAATGACACAATCCAATCTCTTCGGAATGGTGTGAAGAACTCTAAAGTTCATGTCTCGCATTGTACGGCTAACATTCTCGCTAAGGCCCTTTATGTAAGGTACAGTAATGCACCTTCGAGGATCTTCGGCCACTTCGCTACTGACAGGATCATTGTTGTTACAATTTCGCAATTCGCCAAGTCGGACATTGACATATTTATCAACAATTTTTTTCGGGTAACAATTATTAATAAGAATCTTTTTTATTTCACTAATATTAGAATTGTGAAACCGCGCGTCGGACAAAAGAATCGCCCGATCAACCAAATTCCTTACGATGTTAATTTTGTATTTTATAGGATGGTTTGAAAAATAATTTATGTACCGGCCCGAGAAAGTTGGTTTACGGAACCAATTCGTAAGCAATGAGCCTCCCTCGCGGATGACCGTGGTATCAAGGAAACTCAATTTGCCATTGCTTTCCATTTCGTAAGTGAATTTTAATCTATCGTGGTAATTGTTGAAATTGTCTAATAATTCACCAATACCCGACTCGGGAACAACCGCGAAAATATCATCCACATATCGTTTGAAAAAGGATATCCTGAAACTGAGCCGTTGTATACAATGTTTCTCTAAATCCTCCATGACCATGTCAGCCAAGATAGGGGAGAGGGGAGACCCTATCGGGCTTCCGAAGATCTGTTCATAAAATTGGCCGTTGAACATAAAACTAGTCGAACTAAGGATCAAGTCTACAGCACTCGAGAATTGTGGAAGGCTGAGATCAGTTTTTGTAGTAATGTAATTCCAT